GAGGCGTGGCGAGGCGCGAAGGCGGGAGGCCGCCGCCGACGCCGCGGGCCGCAGCGGAATCACAATTAACTAATAGCGCCGCGCGGGAGCGAGAACGGCGGCCCAAGACAGAGACAGGCAGAGACAGAGAGGGAGAGAGACAGAGAGGGCGAGGGCGGAGAGAGCTGAGGGGGAGGGTAATTGGCCGCGGGCGCCGGGAAAGAGCCCACGGCGGCGGCAGCGGCGGCGGTGGCGGCGGCGGACGGCGGTTTCTCCGTTACTTCCTCTGCGGGGGCGGCGGTGGAGGTGATGGCGCTTGCGGCGGAGCTGTTGAAGTGGAGCGGAGATAGGGACGACGGCAGCGGCGGCTGCGCCCCGGAGTGGAGATCTAGCTTTACAAGGAAACGTCTAGGGTTCGCGAAATTGTGAAACTCTTCGTGCGCTTCCGCGGAAGAGAATGTTAAGTGCAATCCCGATAATCAGACTATTCCGGCAATTAGACTAATCACGTTAAACTACCTGAGGTGGGAATTTAAGAGGAATATGGATTTACTGTACATTAAATAATTTATACTTCTACATAACAAATGTTTTGTGTGTGTGTGTGTGTGAGCGCGCGTGTGTGAGCGCGTGGGTGTGTGAGCGCGTGGGTGTGTGAGCGCGTGGGTGTGTGAGCGCGTGGGTGTGCGCGCGCGTGTGAGAGCACGTGGGGAAACATGCTGCTGTGATCCGGAATTGCTTCACTTTATGTTGAAATCTTTTCAAAAATTTCTACAAATTATTTCTTTAAATTTCTTGTAAGAATTTAGTGAAATACACTTATAAAGATAGCAGAGGTTCTAGTATTTTCTCTGTTATCTTTAAAAATTCGGAAATTCCAAAAATTCGAATTTTTTTCGGTCTTTTTCTACAATTACAAGGTTGATGTTCGAGATTTTCCCGTCAAATTAAATATGTTCTCCATCATTAGTTCTTTCATTTACGTCATGTAGACTTTCTTAAAAATTGTTGTAACTTTCGTACATTATTGCGTGAAATATGTGCAATATTAAAAAAATATCAATAAGAAGAATTACTCAAAAACAGCTTCTATTTTTTCTTTAATCTTGTGATTGGATTAGAGTTTAACGTACTGTAACAGATGACTTGAACGCGATTTTGATGTATTCTTATGTATTTTCAAAAATAATAAAATTGTAGCTTTTTTCTTGTCTCTCATTTTCTTAATATGTACAATATCTACGATTCGTATTCATTATTGCATTTATGAGTACATGTGCTATAAATAATGCACTATAACGTTTCTCGACAACTCAAGTTTTCTCTGAAAATGAGCTGAAAATTCCACATTTTCAGAAACGCTTAAACGCCATTTTCTTGGAAACGTATTCATATGTTTTCTTGACATGTTTTGAACGAATAGTGGTAATTAGAGTAAACAGCATGACACCAATGCTACTTTAATGTATTTTTTCTTTTCTTCAAAAATTACATAAATATCTCTCACGCCATGAGTATTTATATTTCCAGCAATTTGAATACATTATTGCATTTGTGAGTCAAAGTTCTTCTAATCATTTCTGATGAAGTTTCTCCAAAACTCGTAATTTTTCCGTGGAAAAACCTTCAAATTTCGTAATTAGAGAAATGGTCAAACGACATGTTTTCAAAAACGGCTCCATATTTTGCAACGAAAATCTCCGTATAGGGCGAAGTTTTACTTCCCTATAACATTCTTAAAGTCATATATCAGTTCTACCAATAAGGGATGGATTTTTTTTTTAAAGTACTTTGGGCGGCTGTAGATGACAGCTGGGAAAGGGGATTAACGAAACCGAATAAGCTAGACCATAGTAATTGTGAAACTAGTACGAGAATGTCTATGCCATTCTGTAAAGCTACGCGCGTCCTGGACCGGTACGGTACGGACGGACAGGACCGGATGGCCGGCAGTTTTTGTGTGGGTCGCGCGCACTAGGACGGGACACTCCCGATACTTCCCTCCGTGTATTGTACTGTGTCCGATGGCTTCATAATTTAAGTAAAGAAGCAACCGCATTGGATTCATTTTTAATACTAGAAGAAGGAAATTAAGCAAGGAGTCGCATATAAATCAAATTATCTTCTCTTCTAACCACAATAATAATGACATTGGGAATTTCACTTATTATATCCCGACCTGGTGCAAGATGAAAAAAAATCAGTTCTTTAGGATGTCTCACGATAAATTTGAAGCTAAATTGGTAACACAATTGAATTGAACTAAGGGACTGTCACTAGTTCTTGGTCAACGTGCTCGCTTTCCACTGCGCGGTCCCGGGTTCGATTCTCCGTAAGGCAAGATAATAGTGTGCGTTTTCCTTGCAATGTCCCAGTACATGTTGCTGTGTGACGATGAGAAAATTCACGTCTCAGGTTGAGAAAACCGGAATACGGCGAGGGGATGTCTGCGTGCTAACCACACTCACCCCTTAACCCTAGGCCGCGAGGCAGGGACGTCGCCGGTAGGCCTGAGCCCGTTCATAGGCTGTCGCGCCAAGTACCTACATACAAATGAACTAATAAATTATTACAAAACCTGGCATAATTTATTCACCGAGTACAAATGAACAAAGTGTCACCAATACTGCACAGTTTCTTATAAAAAAATAGAAATTTAAATTTGTCGAATGTTATTCCCTGATTCAGATAGTTTAGCTGACCAATTAAATTTCACTTTTAGAACCCAGGTATTATTTGTGGTTTTCAAGGCATTTGATCTTATGCACACACACTAATAGAAAATAAATTTCAAACAAATAACAATTTGTATGCGGAAAACACTTACTTCCTTTGTTTGGAAATTATTACGATTTGTTTTCTTATACCACATGCTTGACACAAAATACCAGCAATATGTATTTATGTGAAATGTGCATGTAATAATAGTAATACGACTGTTGCATTTGTCATTTATCAATTTTTGCTTCAAAATGGTATACTACTTAACGAAATGTACTAATTGCATCAATTCTGTTTTTTTGCAAGCCAATTGTTTTAGTTTTATTTATTTTCTAGAATTACTTTAGACCAAGGGTTTGCAGTTCGATCGGTGCAGACCTAGGGGTCGATACAATTTTCAAGGGGGTCAATGATGATTGATTAAGAGATCGAGTGGAGGTCAACGCCGAATATGAACCGGCTTCTCCACGGAATAATCAGGTTCCCATTGATCACAAAAACTATTTTTGAGAAACGAATTCACCGTTTTCTGATATTCAGCAACAAAACATAGTAATAAATTAGAAATTATCTCCTCTTCTTTTGCATCTGACATTCATCCTTAGGAGTTAGGATGTTTAGAAAACTATTATTTCAAAAAATTAAGACTATGCATTTACCATAAGCAAAAAAGTATCTCCTCACTAGGCACTGAAGAAATGTAATAGCCTGTTCTTAAAAAACACTTTTGAAACCATTGTATTTCAATGAAGAATAGAATCTCAGATGCTGAAACCAGGATGCGTCTTTGATCATTGAAATATATACATACGCGTATATTGGGGTTCGAAATTGTTACCTTTCAGGCTTTGTGAAATTCTTTGTTCATGATTATGGATGTCATATATTATAGAGAAAACATATGGCCCATGAAGGAAACAAATAATGTAAAAGGCCTCCATTAAAGAAATGGTTGAGGTTGTTTTTAGACCGTACAAAATTAATAAAGAAAGTGGT